GGTTTAATTGTGCTTGTAGAATGCAAATTTTGAAACTAAAGTATACGTGGTGAAGGTAGTCAGTGTCTGGTCTTATGTTCGGGGTTGGTATGATTTCGATATGATACTGGGTTATATAACCAGTAAATATGAAAGGATCAACCAAGTTTACCAAATTTCTTTACAGAATTAATATGTTTTCTTCTCTATTATGTACTTGGAGATTTTAATGACCGACGGACAAGACATCCGTTCTCAGGGATGCAATTGAATACTTGAATGAACTTCTGTAGAAGATCAATGATATTGTGAAAGCCTTACCACCATGATTGTCAACCTTTGTTGAAAATTTGCTAGCTGTTGGGGGTAATTGTCTGCGTCATATGGGAGTGAGTTCTCAACGATTTTAATTTTTTAGAATTTTGGTTGATGTACTTCATCTTCTTTTTGTTATTTTAATTTGTACATAAATTGTAGTTATAATTTATCTTCTTTTATACCACGAATTTTCTTCTGTTTAAGAGGAATGTAAGAGAAGTATTTGTGATGACAAATTTAGTATTAATTGTTATTGCGTAAATAATTTAATGACTACTGTGAAATGAGTTTTATATGTATGTATGTATGTATGTATGTATGTATTAACGACAACGCATGTTGCTAAAACATTAATGGAAACATGCAAATGAACATTGTTAAAACATTTACGACAATATGCATTGCAAGTCCCTAAAATAGCTGACAATGTGCAGATGAATGCTGTTTTGAAAAGTAACGACGACATGTAAATGAACGTTCCTAAAAATTAATGACAACATGCTTTGCAATCTTTAGCAACACTCAATGTCTTTTGTCATATCCATCTACTCTAAGGGAGCATGGAAGGTTGCAACATACAGGTGCAAATTGCTAGTTAAAAAAACAGTGATACAATACAGTTCGATACTCAATGCAAAATCAATCATGCTACAGTAACCGAAAATGGTTGAAAGAGGGGCGATCGACTCTCACAATGGAGGGCCCCACTTTTTTGGACTTTTTAATTCACATGGGACCCATGTGTTGGGAATTTACTTAATTAAGCACAACAGAATTTAAACAATATTTCAATTTCTACCAAGGATCTCCCATGTGTTTATATAAAAATTGTGATAGAGATTATACATTTTTTGAATTCTGCAAATTTCTTTACTTTTCTTTTGTTCCAACAATCTCGATCTGCAATCTACAGCTGTCGAATTAACCAATCTCTAATGAAAATTCACACAGGAAACAAGATTGAAAGAACCGGGGTTTTACTCTTCTTGTGATAGCAAGAATAATCAAATTTCTCTTTGCAGTTTTCAAACCCTAACAGCTTATTTATATAAACTCAAACGGGCTTGACCCATCTCCTAACCCTATCTAATATTTATTTAATTCAATTAATTAAATCCGGTCCATAAATTAATTAATCCAATTAATTAATTTGAGCATATTTATAACCAATCCAATTAATTAATTGTCTAATACTTGTTAATTAATTAATTGGCAAATCTCATTATTCTAGTTCTCCTTTTATGTGTGACTCATTAGGTTCCTAATCACGATATCTAACGACGTGAATTATTATTTTGATCTAATCAAAATTGATAAATTAAAACACCCATTTTAATTTATCACCAATTCACATTCTTTGTCTTAAATTGACATTTAGCAATGTGATGAGAGCAATACAAGTGACAGAAAATATTACGTGGTATGACAAAATCAAACTTGTTCTTTTACTGTGAAACTATAATTCCTTCGTCAATATGATTCTATCAATTACGAGATATGAATATGTGTCAATCTCAATTATCGATAATATCTTTCATTCCACTATTAAGTCAATATAAATCAAAAATTCATTTTCGAATTATGAGTACACATTGGCCAAGAATTTTGTTATCAACTTAACTAAATAAAATATAGATTATAATATCTTACTATCTAAAAGTGACGAACCTTCTATTGATTATTTACAACTTTCATATGATTTTTGACATATTGAAATGATACTGTGTTAGTGGCCCTTGGCAAAGCAACATCCAATATCACCAATGTATGACTATTCTCATATAAGGCACTATGATGACCTCAAGTCAAATGACTAATTCTACTACCGAATGTTAGAGATCAATCACTAACACTCAGATAGTTATTCATGTGGAATCTCCTAGTGGGTTTCCAATGTGTCATTCTATAACCAAATATCCACTTATTTATTTAAGTGTCACCACACTTTAACTTGTGAGATCAACTACTTACTTCACAAGTAAAAAATGTCACATGTGATGATTTATCCATAATAACGATATCCGTATCTTGTTATTACTTACGACTATGGATGATTTAAGATTCAATTATATGTGATTTGTATCTCACAATCATAACTCCTTATGATTAACAAATTACCAAAACTTGAATCTACGAATTATATTATTTAATTTAATTAAGCATAAATTAAATAACAGATGTGCCATAAAATTGCATAAATTATATATTAAAAGTGTTATGTCCAAAGTTGATTGGACATAGGGCATATCACTTATACCACGCACATGTGAGGATGTCAACCATTCCGTTAAAAAAATTCGGGCATAGCAGCAAAATTCATGTGAAATTCTCCCCACGACAATGCATTTTGCCCATTGCGAAATGCTATTTTACTTGTGTAGATGATTTTTTTTTTCTTTTATTTTTGGCGTAGGGGTAAGTAAATAATTCATTAGGACTTTGGTTTGCCTAAAGTCATGTAAGCTACTTGTTTGGAACTTGGTTTGTCTGAGGATACGTAAGCTCCTCATAAGAGCTCTTGTTTGAGTCAACATTGGGAACAAAGAATGCTTTTATTGAACATAGTAGCAAGCTTATGTGAGCGAACATAACACCTAGTTTTTGGCAACGAAAATGGTAAAAATATTGATCAAAATAACATCAAACTTCTAGTGACAAAAATGTAAGGAAATGAAATGACAATGAAGTAAAACTCAGTAACTAAAGAATCAAAGATGAATTACATCTTTAAGTAGTTGTTTCAAGTTTTTTCTCATATTTTTCCGTTGAGTTATTCTCATATATATTTTAATAATTGCTTTATTTATAAATAAGGTAAGTAATCAAGAGAAGAAAATAGCTTTGAAAAATTTGTTGAAGTCTGGTTACCTAGCAGTCTCATGTTTTGCCATCTTTTAGCAAAGGCGACTGAACTCATGCCTTATTGTAACTTTCAAAGCTAGCTTTGAGTGTACACATACATATTCTAGCGAGTTCAACCGATGACATGCATTATTGAATAGTCTCATTATAAAATTGTGTTCTTCAACCATACTTGAAGAAATCACACTAGAGCATGAATGTTCAATCCAATTCAAAAATCAAGCTACTTGACGTAAGTTAAGAGTTGTGATTCTTAATACAAGTGGTGGTTCCGATCAATTACAATAGCAATGTCGCGATAAAGTCAGGACTAGAAGGGTGGTTTGATTCCACTTCTACAATAAGTTAAAAGAAGAAGAAAATCAGGGAATTGTTCTTAAATTTCTCTTGATTGATTTTTTTTTTTTTTTGGGTTAATTTTGCAAAATTACAAAACCAATATTATTGTATTTTTGATCGTTTGATTTACTTGCGACATGGGACCCGTGGATATTTCATTATGGTTTATCGTCTTATATCTGAAATTGAAGTATTGATTTGCTATTTTATTTCCGCACTAAGTAAAAATTGTTTAAACACAACACATCCTACAAGTGCCAGTCAGAACTCTATTAGTATGTCGTTATAGAAAGTTTTGATTGACTGCCTTCTGTCCAGAAACATAATAGTGAAATTAAAATTCAAAGAATTTTTAATTACCTAGGTTTTAGAATTTATAGATAATATTTTGATTCTTAGGTCTGAAAGACCTTCAATAATTAGAGTAAGATGAAAGTTAGTTCCTAATTTTCAGTGACATATTTATTTAAAAAATACATAACCACTAGCACTTTTAAGTTACGTATGTTATATCGTAATAAAGATGATTTAGTATAATATAAAACTTTCTATTCTCATATCTAAGTCATTGTTTACACATAAATTACCAAAATTTAATTCAAAGTCTATAGAGATCGAAACAAGCATAAACCAAAGCACGACATTTCTGTCACACTTGTTCTGTCACATGGTGAGAACTTAAAAAATCGATTAACTTCAAAATCGAAACATTCACAAATCCGCATGGACCCAAATCAATGGTTACAAACTAATGATTTAGTTTGATTTTGTGGTCTTTGCAAACCCAATTGCGCTAGAATTTTGCCTCATGTACAGGCCCTGTGTTCACAGGGTCGGTACAGGGCACTCATATGCCCTTGCATTAGGTTGGGAGTGGGTGATTATTTAAAAAAAAAGAAAATTTTTTTTCTCCCACCCCCTTCATGGATTATGAGTATTTTGTACAGACCCTGTGAACAGTAAACAGAACTCATTGCGCTATTGCACTTAGCTAGCAGAATTGCCTTATTCGTCAAGAATTGAACCCTTCTATCCCGAACGTTCATAAAGTTTCTTCGTAACACAAGCCCTAACGATTGATATCCATGTAAATCGCTAGAAACTAAGGACCATGTTTAGTTATGACTTGACGTTTATCTTCCATAAAGAAGAGAGTCCACACATTTCAAATATCTTACAAGAAACAACTTGTAAAATAATCTTCGAACTCAAAAGAAGGGACCCCATCCAACAAAATTTAATAAACATAAAATAAAGAAACAAGAAAATCTAATAATTGAAAAAATTATTGTACTATTGTCTTGGAGATTTTGATTTTGTTTCAGAGATTCTCATTGAGCAAGCAGCCGCCAGAAAATTTTAGCCAACGCAGGGCAGCCACAAAAAAATTAAAAATTAAAAATTAAATTACTAAAACAACCCCAGGATATTTGGACAAATTGAAAAAATCTCGAGGCTAATAGAGTCATTTCACATAACCCATCCCCTCTCTCCTTAAATTCCACCATTCAACCTTCTCCTTTCTGGCCCTTCATTTTTTTCTGTCTACTCTACTTTGCTCTCTCTCACACCTTAACACACATTCAAACGTGAAGAAAATATAAATTAATTAATGGCTTTGCAGGTCCAATTATACAGGCCAGCTCCAAGGACCACAATTGGGTCAGTGATGCAGAATTCTTCATCACAAGCACCATGTTATACGCAGCAGTCTATGGTCTGCGTCACAGGTGATTACAATCAAGCGATGAAGAGAAAAGAGAGAGGGCTGTCCGTGCAGTGGAGGGTCAAGGCTAGTTTGGACACTGCGGCGGCGGCGGCAGCGGCAGCGGCCGCCTCCGGTGAGGTTGCTGCGGTGGTGGGTCAGGTGACTGAGGTTAATAAGGACACCTTTTGGCCCATTGTTAAAGCTGCCGGTGATAAGACTGTCGTCCTCGATATGTACACTCAGTGGTAACAATATCATTTCCCCCTTCAACTTTTTCCCTCCTTTAAATTTTGAGTACTTTCCAATTGATCTTGTTTTAAACTTTCATTTGTGAATCATGGATTTTGAATTCTTACCTAAGCCTGTTGTGAATTGAAAGATGGAACTTAAAATAGTGGATTTTGAAATCCATTCAAACTCGAATCCTTCGTCAAAACCAAATCCATCAATCCAAATGCAAGCTCTGTATAATTTAGCTCAGCCATTTTTTACTAGGATCGAGGATTTCATGTTCACTTGGGGTCCGTTTGATTACAGAGATGGAATTGAATTGAATTGAATTGAATTGAAAACGAATTTCAAGAATTTAATTGCCTAGAAATTATTTTCTTGAGAATTGTAAATTATGGGTTTGATTGGTATAATTTTTCACGTGGAAAATGTTGAAATAAAATTGTTTTTTAGTGTTCGTTTGGCTTTGTTTTACATTAAAATTGTCGATTAAAGGGATATAATTTATTGGTATTGGGGATAAATTTGTTTCAATTGTCAACAAAAAAAAAAAAATAATAATCAAGAAAATCAACTATCTTTTGGTGTTCGTTTGACTTTCTTTTCCATGAAAATTGTTAGTTAAAGGGAAATAATTTTTTACAATAATTTTTAGAATTTGTTTTCACTGCCCCAAAAAAAAAATAATAAATAAATAAAATAAAAATCGAAAAAAATGCTACAGTTACCTGGAAAACGAATTCTCACCAATATGATGAGAATTCGAATTCAAGAAAAAGCTAGAAAATGCTGATGTGGAGGCCAAAGGTGGAAAACGAATTCCTTGGAAAATTTTGTCAATCAAACAAGCCAAAAGTGGAAGTTGAAATTTGTTTTCCATTTTCCCTAGAAAATAAGTGGCTATCAAACATAGCGTTATACTCTCGTAGTTTTCCATCCCTAGGAACCTCTGCTTCTGGCTGCTTATTTGAGAATTTTGACAGATAATCTGGAGGAGAAAAAAATCATTACTCGCAAATACTTTTATATGGGATCATCGATACACATTCTTGATTATTCTATAAAATTTTCCAATGTGAGATTGTCAGCCATATTCACTATGACATGGAGTTTCTTACTAGTGCATAATTATATGCACTTTGTTGGTACTTGGTTCTCATCGTTATAGACACTTGTGTGTGTGAATTCTTGCTCATTCCAATTTAATGCCTTGTCTAGTAGAAGTTTTATGTTAATCATAGCAGGCCTAATGGATGATGTTTAACCATTTCATTTAAAAGGTTAAGCCGTTAATATTTATTTCATTAAATTTCATCTTCGTCTCAGCCTTTAATGTGTAGACTAGATTCATTTTTTATCGGATGCTTTATGTGTGCACAATATAATAATGGATTTTGAGAGACTTGAAGAAGGTACGAGCCTGCTTTAATACCGTATTGAACCAGTTCATTCAAAAGTATAAGAGTTTAAGCTGTTAGAAAGACACGTAGTTATTCAATTAAATTTAGTATTCAGCAATTACATCATTGAGGAATCCTAATTTATGCGCGCTTGGTGGTAGATCAAGAGCTGAAATATTGAGGGCTGTTGGATAGTTGTAAGTTGTAACATCTGGTGCAAATTAGGAATCTACAAGATTGAAATATTTTGCTTCCCTTTTCAAATAACATTTTTGCTTAGATCAAATTTTCTATTTGAATTTTTACTTGCAGGTGTGGTCCTTGTAAGGTGATTGCTCCAAAATTTCAAGAATTGTCTAAGGAATATCTTGATGTTGTCTTCCTAAAGTTGGACTGCAACAACGATAACAAGGTTCTCTCTCTCTCTCTCTCTCTCTCTCTCTGTGACACAAACGTGCGCGCGCACGCAACTGTGGTCTGATCTGATAATTTCTTGACAGCCACTGGCAAAGGAGTTGGGAATTAAGGTGGTTCCAACCTTCAAGATATTGAAGGATAGCAAGATAGTTAAAGAAGTTACGGGAGCCAAATTCGATGATATAGTTGTGGCAATCAATAATGCAAGATCCCGTTAATATGCTTTCGCTTCCCCGCCCCCTCCCCCTTGTAAACTGTAACTTGGTTATAGTACATACATGAACTTAATGGAATTGATTATTAAGAACCTACTAGTCTTCGTTACTTTTAAGATCATTGAGAAAGGATGAAGTGAATATGTTTTTAACTGAAGAAAATGATTCATTCTGTATTGTAAAATTTATGACCTTCACAAAGGGCAAAAATTGGTGCTATGGTACTTTTGGTGCTGAGTTATACAAAGGATTCGAGTTGTAACTTTTAACTTCTGTTACGTGTTGTCAATTTTATATCCCATAAATAGACTGAGCTTTGAAAGTAATAAAGTGGATTGGAATCCAAGTATTGATCCCCACGAGAAATTAGTATTTAGTCTAGTTTTCAATTAATCTAACTTTAGTCCAATGTAAAAGCACAATAGATAGGTGAGATGGTGATTATACTGACAACCTTAGATTAGCTAACCTAATTATCTACCCAAACTATTTGGTAAGAAGTGTTTATGAATAATTAAACAAACACTATGAATATTTTTTTAACTGAAGATAATGATTCATTCTCTTGAGAAAGGATGAAGTGATTATGTTTTTAACTGAAGATAATGATTCATTCTGTATTGTAAAATTTATGACCCTCAAAGGGCGAAATTTGGTGCTATAGTACTTTTGGTGTGGAGTTCTACAAAGGATTCGAGTTGCAACTTTTAACTTTTGTTACGTGTTGTCGATTTTATATTCCATAAATTAACTGATCCTTACAAATAATGAAGTGGACGTGAATCCAGATATTGATCCCACAAGAAATTAGTACTTAGTCTAATTTTCAATTAATCTAACTTTAATCCAATATAAAAGCACAATAGATAGGTGAGATGGTGATTATATTGACAACCTAAGATTAACTAACCTAATTATCTACCTAATCTATGTGGTAAGAAGTGTTTATGAATTTTTAAACAAACACTATGACTCTGCATCACTTTACATATATTTACTTCTAAATATATGAATCAAATAATATTGAAATTAGTTTGCCCGTCAGAATTAGATATCGGAACAACACGGCCAAACACAAAGCTGTGTACACAAATAGCCGCTCATGTGGCCATATGGATATGATGCAAGTTGCAGGTTTACCCTTTTATATCGATTCAATGATAACAAGCATCGAGCACTCTTAGACATTTGCTTTAGTTGCACACCTTGACATTATAAGTGCGCTGATTGCACTAGCTGCACAGAAGAATTGAAAGATATACCAACAAGTCACATTAGCATTTCTTAATAGCTATCTTAAAGAAGAAATTTATGTCGAGTAACCTCAAGGGTACGTGGTACAAGGTAAGAAAGATAAAGTTTTCAAGCTAAAAAAAGCACTATATACTTCAAAGCAAGCTTCCCAAGCTTGGTACAACAGAATAGACAATTACTTTGCTGAGCAATGATTAATGAAGAGCCAATGTGAGCCAACTATTTACATCAAAATCAAGGCACAGGCAGTACCCTCATTATCTCTCTATATGTTGATGATCTCATCTATACAGAAAAATGTTGGAAAGATGATCGAGAAATTTAAGGAAGACATGATGAAAACATTCGAGATGACTGATCTGGGATGGAAGCATTATTTTCTTAGAATTGCGATAACTCAATTCGAAGATGGGATCTTCATTGCTCAAAAGAAGTATATCACTAATCTTATAACGAACTTCAAGATGGAAGGTTGTAAGACTATAGCAACCCCTTTGGATAACAATTAAGTCACTCAAAAAAGAAGTCGATACTTTAAAAACAGATATTTTACAATTTCAAAGCCTAATTGTAAATTTACTCTATCTCAAAACTACAAAGCCAAACATAATAGAGGCAGCCAGCTTACTGTCAAGGTACATGCAAAATCTAAGTCAAGTTCACTATAGAACAGCAAATTGAACACTTAGATACCTCCAAGGAACAAAAGATTATGGCATATGGTATCGATCTATGACTGACTCAACACTACTTGGGTGTATCGACAACAATTGGGCATGATTAGTGAACGACATGAAAAGAACATCAGGCTATGCATTCACACTAAGTTCTAGAACATTTTCTCGGTTATCAAAGAAACAAGTAACAATTGCACAATCATCAGATGAAGCAGAGAATATATCAGTAGCAATGGCAACGAGCTAAGTTATACGGCTAAAGCACATGTTTGAAAACATGGGGAAACCACAAGATGAAGCTACAAAGATTTATTGTGATATCAAGTCTTCTATATCAATGGCCAAGAATCTCGTATTCCATAGTAGAACAAAATACATTGGCATCAAGTATCACTTCTTTAGAGAAGTTGAAGCAAATAAAAAGATAGAGCTCAAACATTACAAGATTGAAGAACAATTGGTATACATATTTACGAAGGCACTTCCACGAGCAAAATTCAAAGTGTTACGAGCCATGGTTGGAGCTATTGAAATACGTTCCGAGGATAAGTATTAAGTTTGTTGCAGATTTCTTTAGAAATCCTTAGGCATTAAGCAAATTAATAAAATGCTAAAAAAAATGAGATATTTCTAGATTAGCTTAGTGAGCAAGCAAAAATAATAATCAACATTAGAAAATTATAGAATTAGCCACCGACATTTTATTCCTAGAAATAGGTGGGCAGTGAATTGATTTGGCAGTTGAAAAGGAGCACAATTCTACAGCCTGCTGCTATTGTAAAGTTTCTATCCACCTTGAAAATTGCATTTTTGAATAAATTAAATTAAATTCTCTTCATTCCTCACATGGACTGCGTCTTGTACACAAGAAATATGACTGTCTAGATTGACCAACATCTCCAAGATCAGAAGTAGCTGCTCGAACTCTTCAGCATCCTTGCAGAAACACACAAGCAACAGAGGACTGTTTTTGTTACATAAACCTTCAGAACTGATAACTGTTACTAAATAAATAACATATGCATTGCACTTAAGTTGCCCATAAGTATTGCTTTAGCGATGTTAACCTAATTATGATTGTTTATTGATAAGTGTATTTTTGCACACTTATTTACATCACAAACATGACTTAAATACAAGTAAAAGGATTGAATTGTTACTTAATTTTGTCGAATTCATGCAATGTAGGTGATTCTATGGAAATAGTGAAATTCAGGAGAAAAGAGCCGAAAAAGGACCAAATTGGAGCAAAATGAAAATTCAGGGACCAAATTGCAATTATCTGAAAGTTGACCCGATGAACACATCAAGCAATTGATCAAGCTAACCACCAATTGAAAGTTATAATGGAACATTGGAGCAACTAGAAACAAGAGAGGAGGTCAAGGAGTGAAGGAATGAAACTTGAGGATCAAAATGACTCAAATTAGAAATTCGCTCTACTATGCGGTCGCATAGTAGAAAACCTATGCGGTCGCGAGTGACCCTCCAGGGATTAAAAATGCCAATTTTCATATGCCTATGCGGTCGCATAGGTATAACCTATCCCCGATTTTTGCAGTTTCCTTATATGATTGCAACTCCTTTGGTAACCTAATTTCGACGGGTTTAAATAGTAAATAAACATCCAGAAGCCGCACGAACGAATTGGGAGGCAAAAACATTCATCTTGGAGAGGATTTGAAGGCAAGAACAAGAATTGATGCGAAGATTTACAAGATTTCTTCAAGTTTTGATAACTCGGTGATGTATTTTATTCAAAACTTGTTAGATTTCATTATTTTTATCATGATAGGCTAGATTTTTGCAACTAGGTGATCGATGAACCATGTAATTATTATTAAACTTGTTATTTCATGATTTTGAATACATAGTTCGATGGGATATTTGAATGAATTATATTGATTTATTTATTTCCACAATTAATGTGCACTTAATTTGTGTGAATTTGGTAGTTTAATTCTGAATTTGAGAAAATTGGATTAACTTCGACATATATGATTCATCATAGGGTCCGATAGGGGATAGAAATATACCCTTATGCCCTATGTAAATCTTTAATTGCTCACAAAATAAAATTACATGCATTCTTGTATAATTGCATCCGTCATAGAAATATAGGCTGATGATTTATGAGAATAGGTTCAATATGTCTAGAGAGAGAGAGTATTGAATAGATTTAGGAGCATTGATTTGTCAAATTCTCATTGGATTATCAAAATTGTGAAATTAGGGTTTAATTAGTAATTATTTGGGGATTCGTGATCCTAGTGCATTCGTTTTACATAGATTTTCATAAATTGACAATACATTTCATTTATTTTCATAACATTTCGTAATTGAGTCATTCATTAAGCGAATTTAAGTAATTAGGGTTTGATTTGAAATTAGGGTTTTTCAATTTGGGGATTTTCCCCAAAATTAGGGCTTTTAATTCTAAAATTCATCTTGAATCAATTAGTTTCGGTTAAAGCTAAAATAAATAAAATTGAACTACTCTTTATCTGTGGGACGATACTCGGACTTCTAAAGTCCACTTTATTACTTGTCACGACCCGTACACTTGCGGTAATTTAAATCGAAAGAAATATTTCGCGAACAAGTTTTTGGCGCCGTTGCCGGGGATTGAGTTTAGTTTAATTTTATTTCTTGAGGCACTAATTCGAACTTAATTTTTCTCATTTATTTTACTAGCATAATTTTGTTTTTGTTTTTATTTTTATTTTAGTTTATTATCCTCTATTTGTATTTTAGTTAATTAAATTGTTTGAAACTCAGTGCTCGTACTGGTTTTAATTCTCAGATTTGCATGTCACGATTGCTTGGAGGAGAATTGATTCCGGCTGATCCTGAAATTGAGCGCACTTTTCATCAACGACAAAGAGATCACCGCGAAGCACAAGTACAAATGGCCAACGAATTAAACAATCTCATGATTCATGTTAACGAAGGAGAGGCAATGGACGAGGGGAATGAGATTCTGAGGGATTTCTTGACTCCTCAAGTGATTCAAAACCAGTGCAGCATAGTGTATCCACCGTTTGGGCAACCTAATTTTCAGTTGAAGACCAATGTGATACAGCTGTTTCAAAATGGACACCAATTCTATGGCAAGGCTGAGGAGAACCCACACACACATGTATCTCGATTTCTGGATATGTGTCAACATTTCAGATACCAAGGGATTTCGGATGACGCTATTAGGTTGAGGCTTTTTCCACATACGTTACGAGACAGAGCACTTGAATGGTTGGATTCACTCCCGATTGCAAGTATCACTACATGGAATGAGCTGGCACACAAGTTCTGCACAAAGTTCTTCTCCCCAGCCAAGATAGCAAAGCTGAGACATGATATATCAGTATTCAATCAAGGAGAGATTGAATCATTTGATGAAGCCTGGAATAGATTCAAAAACATGCTCCGGAAATGCCCTCAGCATGGGTTCGATAAAAAGACCCAGATTCGATTCTTCTACACAGGATTACTTCCATACCATAAGAGCATGGTAGATTCAACATTAGATGACTCAATATCCACAAGAACAGTTGACGGGGCATTGGAATTATTTGAGCGAATGGCTACCACATCAGCCATGTGGTCTTCTGAGAGAGCGACTCCAAAGAAAACTCCAGGTGTCTATGAGGTGGACGCTTATTCAGCAATCTCTGCAAAAATTGATTCTCTGTATTACAAGGTGGAAAGCATATCACAAGCATCACAAGCAAAGAAGAGCAATTGTGAGGAATGTGGAGCCGAGCACAAAACATCAGATTGCCCTATACTCATGCAAGGAATTGAGCAAGCAGATTACGCACAGTGGGGACAACGCCAGCAGCATAATCAATATGGCGAGACTTTCAATCCCAGCTGGAAGAAACATCCCAACTTCTCTTGGAGCAACCAGAATCAGAATAAGCCACAGGGGCAATTTCAACAACAGGAGAAGAGGCCTCAATTGGAAGATATGATAGGAAAATTCATGGAGAAGACCGAAGCTACACTTCAAAATCAAAATGCAGCCATAAAAAATTTGGAAACTCAGATGGGGCAGCTAGCCATCGCATTGACTGGCAGAACACCAGGTAACTTACCAAGTAATACAGAAATCAATCCTAAAGAGCAAGCCAAGACCATTACAACTCGAAGTGGAGTGCAATTACCTGAAATCCATGTCAAGAGACCGGGGTGATTGGAGAAACATCTTCCTCCGCTGAAGAAGAGATTGTTGTAAAGGAATCAAGTTCAAAGGAAAATTCAGAAGAATCACAAGATAAAGCCAAAGTCACAGTCAACCCCTACAAACCTCCGATTCCCTTTCCACAGCGCTTGAAGAAGCAAAAAGTGGAGCAACAATACAAAAAATTTCTAGAAATCTTCAAAAAGCTCCATATCAACATCTCACTAGCTGATGCACTGTTCCAGATGCCTAGCTACGCAAAATTTCTGAAGGATATCATATCAAATAAACGCAAGCTGGAAGATTATGAGACAGTCATGCTTACTGAGGAATGTAGTGCCAGAATTCAGAATAAGCTTCCACCAAAACTAAAAGATCCAGGGAGTTTTACTGTTCCTTGCACAATCGGTGAAATATATTTTGATAGAGCATTATGTGACCTCGGTGCAAGTATTAATTTAATGCCTTTGTCTGTTTTCAGGAAACTAGGATTGGGAGAAGCTAAAGCAACCACTGTGACACTTCAGCTGGCTGATTGGTCACTGACACATCCCAGAAGAATAATTGAAGATGTACTTATCAAGGTTGAGAAGTTCATATTCCCAGCGGACTTTCTTATCCTGGACATGGAAGAGGACAAAGACGTCCCATTGATACTTGGCAGACCATTTCTGGCAACAGGGAGAGCATTAATTGATGTTCAAAGAGGTCAGTTGATTTTAAGATTGGGAGAGGAGCATATATCATTCAATATATTCAAGGCAATGAAATTACCAGCAGAATCTGACAGCTGTTATCAAGTTGACATTATTGACAAGGCAGTACAAGAAACATTTTTACTACATGGTCCATCTGATGCCTATGAGGCATGTATTGCACAATCCCAATCAATCCAGTCAGAGTCTTTTGAAGTTGAAACATGTGCAAGATTTTTGGAGACCAACCCGCCATACACACGAAAGAGGCACTTCGAAGAACTGGGGATGGGAAACACAAAGCCACTACCTTCAGTTCAGCAGCTGCCAGTTTTAGAACTCAAACAACTACCGCCACATCTCAGATATGCTTATTTAGGAGAATCAGATACACTTCCAATAATCATTTTGAACACAGTCAGTGAGATGGAGGAGGAAAAACTGCTCAGGGTACTTAGAGAGAACAAGACGGCGATTGGTTTGACAATAGCTGACATTAAAGGAATCAGTCCTTCCCTGTGTATGCATAAAATTTTAATGGAGGAAAATTGCAAGCCTAGCATAGAAAGTCAGAGAAGATTGAACCCAAACATGAAGGAAGTAGTCAGGGCAGAGATACTGAAGTTATTGGATGTAGGAATTATCTACCCAATTTCAGATAGTGCATGGATCAGCCCTGTTTAAGTGGTACCGAAAAAAGGAGGAATCACAGTGGTGAAAAATGAGAAGAATGAACTAATTCCCACCAGAACAGTTACGGGTTGGAGAGTTTGCATTGATTATCGCAAACTCAATGCAGCTACACGAAAGGATCACTTCCCACTCCCATTCATTGATCAGATGTTGGAGAGGTTGGCTGGACATTCACACTACTGCTTTCTTGATGGATACTCGGGCTATAATCAGATACTTGTCGCACCAGAGGATCAGGAGAAGACCACTTTCACTTGCCCCTACGGTACTTTTGCTTATCATAGGATGCCTTTTGGTCTTTGCAACGCTCCAGCCACATTTCAGAGGTGCATGATGGCAATATTCTCTGATATGATTGAAAGGTTTATCGACGTTTTCATGGACGACTTCTCAGTATTTGGATCTTCATTTGATGAATGTCTAAGCCACTTGAATTTGGTCTTACAGAGATGCAAGGAGACTAACCTGGTTTTAAATTGGGAAAAATGCCACTTTATGGTGCAGGAAGACATTGTACTTGGGCATAGGATATCGGAAAAAGGAATTGAGGTAGACAAGGCAAAAATTCAAGTGATTGAGAAATTACCACCTCCTACATCAGTTAAAGGAGTTCGCAGTTTTTTGGGGCACGCTGGGTTCTACCGGAGGTTTATAAAAGATTTTTCGAAGATCACTAAACCTTTATGCAATTTACTAATGAAAGATGCAACCTTTGAGTTCAATGACGATTGTCTCACAGCATTCAACACTTTAAAGGAAAAGCTTACGACAGCACCAGTAATTGTAGCACCAGACTGGGAATTGCCTTTTGAATTGATGTGTGATGCAAGTGATCACGCTGTAGGTGCAGTATTGGAACAGCGGAGGAACAAGATTTTTCATGTGATCTACTATGCAAGCAGAACTCTAAATGATGCACAAATAAATTATGCAACCATTGAAAAGGAGCTATTGGCTGTGGTATTTGCATTTGACAAATTCAGGTCATACCTCGTCGGATCTAAAATCATCGTCTATACTGATCATGCTGCATTGAAATATCTGCTCACAAAGAAGGATGCAAAGCCAAGATTAATTCGTTGGGTGCTGTTGTTGCAAGAATTTGACATTGAGATACGCGACAAGAAGGGCACCGAGAACGTAGTGGCAGATCACCTATCCAGACTAGAACCTGGGGAGACGGAAGATTTAGTGGATATAAATGAGATCTTCCCGGATGAACAGATGTTGAGAGTGGATGAAGCACCTTGGTACGCAGATATTGTCAATTACTTAGCCAGTTCCATTCCACCGCCTGACTGCTCCAGTCACCAAAGAAAGAAATTCTTCGCCGAGTTAAAATACTATTTCTTTGAGGATCCAATTCTCTATAGACGAGGAGCTGATCAGATAGTAAGGAGGTGCGTACCTGAAGAAGAAGTACATGAGATTCTCGAGCACTGTCACTCATCCGCATATGCAGGACGCTTTGGAGCTTCAAAAACAGCTGCAAAGATTCTACAATCAGGTTTCTACTGGCCTACACTGTTTAAAGACACATTTGAGTTTGTTAAGAGATGTGACAGATGTCAACGCACTGGGAATATCTCGAGGAGAAATGAAATGCCACTGAACAATATTTTGGAAGTGGAGATATTTGATGTTTGGGGAATTGACTTCATGGGACCTTTCCTCCCTTCGTTCTCAAACCAATATATCTTGGTGGCAGTGGATTACGTCTCAAAATGGGTGGAAGCAATTGCATTGCCAACAAATGACTCAAAGACAAAAATTGGATTCTTGAAGAAATACATTTTCACCCGATATGGTACACCGCAGGCTATAATCAGGGATGGGGGCAAGCATTTCTGTAATCGCCAGTTTGAGCAGCTGCTGAATAAATATGGCGTTAAACACCGCGTTGCTACTCCATATCATCCACAAACCAGCGGGCAAACTGAGGTATCTAATCGGCAGCTGAAGAGAATACTAGAAGTCACTGTGAATTCATCTAGAAAGGATTGGTCTAAAAAGCTAGACGATGCATTATGGGCTTACAGAACAGCATTCAAAACCCCAATCGACATGTCTCCATACCGCCTAGTTTTTGGGAAAGCATGCCAACTGCTATTAGAAATGGAGCACCGGGCATATTGGGCTATGAAATAGTTAAATATGGACTTGAATGCCGCCGGAGAAAAGCGTCTACTGCAACTGAATGAGTTGGATGAATTTAGAATGGAGGCTTATGAAAATGCAAAACTTTACAAGGAGCGAACCAAGAAGTGGCATGATATGCACATTCAGAGGCGAGTATTCGAAGTGGGGCAGCAAGTGCTACTGTATAACTCGAGACTCAAGCTATTCCCAAGAAAACTACGATCACTGTGGTCGGGTCCCTACACAGTTAAAAAAGTCCTACCATATGGGGCTATATAAGTGAGCCATGAGAATAAGGGTACCTTCACTGTTAATGGGCAAAGGTTGAAACACTGCTGGGGCGGTGACTTCTCTAACCAAAAGTCAACCGTTCAACTCGAGACGCTAGAATGAAGCACCCGCAGAAAAGTTGAGCTATCGACTATAACTTAGCTCTGGGTGGGAGGCAACCCACTGTATCCTTTTTATCTAGTAATTTACTTTATTATGTTTTTGTTTTTTTTTTTTTTTTTTTTTTTTTTTTTTTTTTTTTTTTTTACATTAGATTAGAAAGTTTACTTTCAAATTCATTTAGTATTTTGTTATGTGGTCATCGATCATCTAGGCATGTTAAAAGAGTCCAAGCATTGTTCACACGAGTCCTTAAGTATCACACACAAGTTCGGATTAATTTGAGTTGTTTGGGGTAGTTGAGTGTGGAATTCACGCATTTCGAGGCGAATTATTTTTTCTAAATTTCACATGTCAATGTTTTAAAAGTATGTCTTTGAAAAATTGGGGGCGTTGAGAGTCGGGTCCTTTATAAAAAAATAAAAAAAATAAAAAAATAAAATTTTTTTTTGGACAAAAATCGGATTTTTTGGGGAAAGAGGCTTTGTTTTATTCTATTTTATTTTTTTAAAAAAATAAAATAAAATAAAATAAAGGGATGTCTATGCGATCGCATAGACACCATGTCTATGCGGTGGCATAGACACCAACCGAACCTAAAAATCAAAAAAATATTATACCTATGCGACCGCATAGCTTTTAACTATGCGGTCACATAGAATAAAAAAGGCGTGGGTTTTTCACCCACGCCCGATCAATTTTTTTTTTTACTTCCAAATCATTCATCCCAACTCCTCTCTCACCCAAACTCATATTGGATACGATTTTTACACTTAATTGCATTTCACTCACCTACACTACACAAGAATCTCGAGGTTGGAGTTGCACATTATCTTGAAGGTATGAATTTTGACTATCTCCTTCATTGTACCTCGTTTTTTTAAGTCATTTTCGAATTGATTTTCTGCATTTTGGGGTGATTGGGGTGTAGATGGTGGATGGAGTGTACTATTTGCAATTCAATTGTGTTATGGGGTAATTCGAATTTTGAGTTATTGTGTTTTATATATATTTCTAAAGAATGCATGCTAGGTGTTTGATACATTGCCACATTAATAATTTGTGGGCATTTTGGTACATGTTGCATTAAATTTATTTGATTGATGAATGTATATGAGATTGGTGATTGATTTTTGAATGGGGAACCATGTGACATAGTAATTTTTGGCTAATGTATGAAGATTTCATAATGCCCACAACATGTTCGATAAAATGCCCATTTTGGTAATCTAATACGATTATGAACATCTAGCATGGCATATGACTATTAGATGAATGGAATAACTCGTTGTGATGTATTACCAACCAATGTGACTTAGACAACATCAACACACACATGCACACAAAATAGCTAAGTCATTGCACCCTCTGTCCCTTATTTTACACTACCATTTGGCACACCAAACGAACTCCGATTGAGCTAAAATTTGGGTATGTGATAGAGCTCATTGCATACTTTCATATGCCTGGAGGTTGCCCAGGACAATCTTGATAATTCTCGATGGTGCCCGGGGCCGAAGGTGTACACTAAATCATGACTCCAACCCTTTCACTATGAGCATATTCACCCAAATTTTCTTATGTTTTCGTATGGGCTATACATTTTTACTATTCTAATCATCATACATTGTTCATTACACACCGTGGTAGTATACATGCATATTGAAACAAATTTGGGAGATTTGTAAATTACGTGCTTTTCATTTCATGCGATTTCTCGCTGTACAACAAGACGTTTAATGCTAGCTATTTTCCCACTTTGCAGGATGCCACCAAAACGAACTTCAAAAGGAAAAGAGAAGGTTGGCTCATCATCCGGCACAGCACGCACTCGAGTGCTTGAAGGAGGGATACAAAGATTCTTGACTTCCGAGGCAGCAGCCCGATATGAAAACATAGTGAGTCGATGGACAGTGACACCAGAGCGGGCTGTTAAATTAGAAGACTTTCCTGATTTTGAGCTGACCACTTTGGTGCATAACTGTGGATGGGATAAAATAGTGGAGCAGCCACATCGGATTTATGAATTGTTGGTAGGGGAATTTTACGCCAACTTCAATACCGAAATTGACACACCAGGGTCCGACCACCTGCATTAGACTTGGGTCAGGGGTAAATGGATCACATTCTCACCCGAGGTTATTCAAGACTACTACTAGCTCACGTGGGAAAACATAACCCCTATACCAGGTGACTTCAATTGGCATGAAGTGGCGGAGATCTTATTGGGGCGACAAAATGCATGGCCACTCCCCACCACCGAGTGGCACCAGATTGAGTTGACACCATCTATAGCCATCCTGTGGCTGTTTATGTGCCACAACATTGAGCCGACCTCTCACAGGACCACATTCACAAATCCCACAGCTGGATTCCTTTATCATTTGGTGCGAGGTAATAAGGTTGATCTTGCCACTCTTTGCTATAATCAGATCCATCATGTGGGTACCTTGGGAGACAAGCACAGCTCAATGATCTTTCCAAGCCTCATCTCCGGAATATGCATAGCTACTGGTATAAACATTGTATCCGGGGAAGTGGCTGCCAAACCCAGCCCCACCATAAAGCGCAGTACCTTGGAGGCTCAAGACAGAGCCAGGATAAAGCACTGGGAAAAACAAGAAATTGAAAGGCGCAGACAGCAGGAATAGCAAGGTCACGAGCACGCAGAGCAAGAGATGCCTCAAGCTCCACCACCACAGGTTGAGTTAAATGCACAGCTGTGGCGCCAGATTTTCACCACTACCACGGGGACCAGCCGAGACGTACAGAGTCTCCAGCAGGCTATGGGGACTTTGACGACTGAGATGCATACAGCCCACCGTGACATCCGCATTTCCACTGATATGTCACGTGTTGCTCGCCAGGATGCCCAGGCAGCTAGGAGGGAGATGGACACTATGAACGGTCGACTCAGTGTGTATGTGGGCAGGGTGGATGGCATCCAGATGAGGGTAAATGAAACTTGGGAGCGTCTGGGCCATTTGGAGACACGTGTTGAGAGAATCCATGATGAAATGACACAGCAGTCAGCACTGATGAGAGAGATCCTGGCGCGCCTACCTCCACCTCCAGTTGATGATACTGCAGGATCTAATTTCCCATCGCAGCCCCTGTATTGATCAGGGGAGTATCGTTTGCCTCATTTGTACTCATTTTCCTTAAATTCTGCCATCTAAACTTAATTTTTGCATTGAGGACAATGTCTTGTATAAGTTTGGGGGATGGTGGCATAATTTGATAAAAACATTCGGCATGTAATTAATTGCATTTCTACAATCCAGATTTAATTTGACTAATTGTTGCATGAGGCATGCTTGTGAGTGAATATTGATTATACTTATGTATGCTTGTGTGAGCCTAATCGCCTTGCCGGCTATGATGTTACTATTGGATTGGTATATTTCAAAACTTTGGAGTCGGTGTTAATTAGGCCAACTAATACTTGTTGATGTAATACTTGACATTCTTTATGCACGTCATTCATGCTTTACATGTTAGGTAAGTGATTGGGGTTTTGAGCATAAAGTAGAAAAATAATTATAACCCTCTATTGAATTAACCCGTAAACTACCTTAAGATAGTTTGGTGATAGTTGAGCTATTATAGGAGAACATTGAGATAAGTGAGGCTCCGTGCATGAATTATTGTGTGGATTGCCTAGACCAGTAGGATGAAGAGTAGGTGAAAATCTTAAATTGAGGGTTGGTTTCGGATACCAGATGTCTAGAAAAATAAGGGCATAAACTTAATTTATGAGAATAAGAGACTTCTTTTCATGCCTTTATGACTCGAGCAAGTAAGCCTGTAAGGATAATTCAAAATCTGGTGCCCTAAGGTCAACTGATCTGGGAGTCACCGGCCCAAAGCTCGATACAGGGTCATATAGAAAGCAAGAGGTAAAGAGGTTAATAAAAAGTCATCTGATCGAGCCTTTATAACTTGGGTGAATAAGCCCGTAAGGGTTTAAAATCTGGTGCCCTAAAACCAACTGGTTTGGGAGTCACCGGCCCAAAGCTCGTTACATGGGTTATATAGAAAGCAAATGAGAAGATGATAAATGAAAAAAAAATCAGAAAACCAGAGAAAAGTGAGAAAAACAAAAAGAGACAATAACAAGAAGAAAAGCCATTGGACAATTGGTGGAAGAAACTATACCTTTGAGGCGAGGCAAGTAACCTAGTTTAATCTTGAGTGTCGAAGCAATCAAAACTAGGAGAGCCTTCACTTGTTGATATGTGAACTTGTGATAGTGAAATTAATTCAAACTACGAGAGGGTGAGAACTATAGCTAAGTAAACTCATAATTTTTAAACACAACCCCGGGATAATTGAGTGAAAAGAATAAGTTTGGGGGGTTGTGTATCTCTCGAGCGAGTAAGGAGACATTTGACCACTTGGAGTCGGGACTCAAACTCATCATGAACTTGATATGTTAGCATGAATCCACACACACACGTCAAGTATGCACTTAACAGGTAAATGTTGATATCATTTTGCACTGATAAATTTTCATAAAATTAATTACTTAGTCCAATCCTGAGCCAAGGCAAGGTATTAAGCCATGTTTGTTCAGAATTATATCACTATCTTGTTTGAGGACAAACAATAGTTCAAGT